TATATATTCAAGACCTCATTTTAAAATGTCGGTGAGTATATTCTCCTGCTGTTTTCTCTTTCCAACTCTCTTACTGTTCTGGAACTAGTTCTCTTGGCCTTTACTGGATTTGATAGTTTCTTGACTTACTCCCTCTTTTCTTTAGATCAGTTTTTATCCCTCCACTAACTGAGCAACCAAAACTGAATGCTATAATGTTTTTTCCTACCTTCTCCTCACCTCTTTTACCATATCACTCTAATATGCCAACACTGTCAATGTAGTATCACTTAGCATCTGTTTCTGTAACACCTGAGTTTCTGTAATGTTTGAAAATGAAAATCTACTAAAGTGTCCTTTATATTTCTAAAAATTCATGCCTAAATTGCTATTAGTTCTGTATTGGTTGGCTCTGGTAGATGTGGCTAAAGATTTGTCCCAGATTAAATTAGAATTTCAGCTTTGAAAATTTCTGACTGGGAAGCTATGGGTACACACGTAAACTCTCGCACCATCAGTTTCTGTATCTATAAAACATTGTTTTTATAGATGTTTTACAGCTGTTGTTGTTTTCTGTCCAGTAGAACCAACCCATAGCTGACACTCCAGCAAGTCTGCAGCGGTAATAAATTGCTCGCATGGAGATTGTTCATCCTTTCCCCGCTAAGCATGTGATGGATTTAAACCATATGCCTCTGGAAATTCAGTGAAGCTTCTTACCTCTAGGACACTAGAGCTTCCTAGGAATAAGAGTTGTTGTTGTTGTTGTTGTGTACCCTTGAGCCAGGGCCATCCCATAGCTGACCCTTCGGCGGGTTTTAAGAGGCATTTAATCATGTGAGAGAAGACTGTCCATCCTTCTCCAGCAGAGCAGCTGGTGGATTTGAACCGCCTGCCTTTGGGATTGTAGCTAAGCTTCTTGCCAGCAGACCTCCAAAGCGCCCTAGGAATAAGAGTAACTCTAAAATTTAGAACGCTCTGGTGATCTAGTGGTAAGAAGCTGCACTGTAATTCCAGAGGCATGTGGTTCAAATCCATTGGATGTTCTGTGGGAGAAGAACGGGCAATCTCTTCCCATGCAATTTACTAACTCTGAAAACTCACAGGGGTCAGCTGTGGGCCGGTTCCAAAGGCACACAATACTCTAAAAATTAAAGTAAAAATGATATGAGAGAATCTGCAGAATAAAGGCACTAGATGGTAGATTCTCAATAAATGATACATTTTCACATAGAAGAGTTCATCAGTTAAAAATTCAGTTAATGGTACTCAACATACACCTTAATTACTTTTTTGTGATTGATAAGAGCCAATCATTTATTTATTTATGGTTGTTACATTTTACAAAGCAGTCTCGCAATCTTCTGAGGGACTTCTACAGTTTCTGATTCTGGAGTTTCTTCTCTGTCAACAACTATGCAGTGTTTACCTATGTGGCTTCCCCCTCCCTTTTTTTAATTATTAAATTTCATTAGTTTTAATGAACATTTACAGAGATTTTGGGTTTTCATTCATTCATTCATTCACTGTTGACCTATGTGGCTTTTAATAATACATGATCCCAGCCCCACCAAAGGCCAACTGAGTCACACTGCCAGCAGGCGTGTTTCACTGGAAGGTATCAGGTCTCTGTACAAGAATCAGTGTTACTATGTTTAGAAGATTTATCTAGTTTAGCATTTTAAAAAATACACACACACACACACACACACACACACATACATAACTAAATACATGCTAAATTAAGAAATGTTGCAACTGGATGGTAGAAGTACTTAAGTACTCAGTTATTAGTCAAAGGCTGGCAGTTCAAAACACCCTTGAGAACCATACTGAGTAATTCTTCTCTGAACTTAGGGAGTTACCATGAGTTAGAATTGGCTTGAAGGCAACTAATACTTATGGATAGACTCCAACTTCCAACCTTTCAGTTAGCAGCCAAGTGTGTAACTATGTCTACCACTCAGGGACTCTAAAAAACTTGAGTATCCTGTTTCTCATTGCTGAGGACTCAGAGCCGACCCTCCAGCAAGTTTTCCAAAGCTGAAAGTCACAGAGAGGAGGCTGCTCGTCTTTCCTCCGGTGAGCTGGTGGTGGATCCAAGCCAACAGCGCGACACCACATTTGGGCTGGCAGTGCAAGCCCTACCCATCAGGTAACCTAGCGTTAAACTATATCTATAATACCATTAACATTAACTATTAAGATAACTGAGCCTTCTCAGTAATAGGAAGAAGAAAAGGAAAGATTAGTTTCTTTAACTCTGATAGTATCTAAGAATAAAAATCTAAAAATATTTACATTTGTATATGTTCATGTCTAGGTTCCTTAGTTAGTTCCTTTTATTTTAAATATTATTTTAAAAATATTAACAAACATTCTTCTCCCTCTTTTTTAATGGTGGTGATACACATCAGAACATCCACCACTATCACAACTTCCACATTTACAATTTAATAACACTGATTACATTTTTTTCCCGTTGTTTGCCTTTACCACTGTCCTCATCTACAATATTACACCACCATTAATGTAAACTCAGTAATCCCTTCACCACACCACCCTTTTCCCCCCTCAAAACCAAAACAAAAAAAAAAACCTCTTCCTTCCCTCTGCCACCTCTGATAACAATTAATAATCTTTGCTTTCTACATATAGGCAGTCCCTAGGTTATCAATAAGATTGTTACTGTGTTTTAAAGTTGAGTTTGTAGCTAAGTCAGAGTGGGTGCATTTTGGTTCTTATTTAGCCTTATTTTAATACAAGAGTGGCAGAAATGTGTGGGCAACCTGTTCCATTAATATTTATAGCCTTGAAAAACCTTATGTAGTAATCCCACCCTGTGCTATAGGGTTGCTATGAGTTTGAATCAAGTGACTGGATGGCAGTGGGGTTTTGTTTATTTAATACATGAAAAGGTTCAAAGGTTTGTCCACCAAGGATTTACAAGTGGTACATGGTGCTAGAGAAGAGTACTGAATTGCTAGGAGTACAAACAAGTTTGTCCTGGAAAGGGTGAAGCCGGGTTGGTCTTTGTAGGCAAGGATTTTGAAGCTTTGTCTGACATACTTTGGACACGTTGCAAGGCGGGACCAGTCCTTGGAGAGGGACACCATGCTTGGGAGGGTGGAGGGATAGTGCAGGAGAGGAAGACCCTCAGTGACTGTGGTAATGGGTATAGGTGTGTCGGAGTTTTCTTAAATGTGAGTCTATTTATGACATTTGCTCAACAGCTTTGAAAACCAACACTTTTAATTATATCGTTACTATCTCCTATCTATTAAAAATCTTTCTAAGCATACATAGGACAAAATTATACACAGTATTCCTATACTGTGTTTCATTCCAATGTCTACTACTGTGGGTGAATTACATCATTCCAGTTCTTACATATCACATTTCTATTAATACTTGCCAAGGTCAGGCGGGCATTTGTTTGAATTTTTAAAAAAAATTTTTTTAAACTTTGTTTAACTCATGGTCAAATATGACTTTTAGATCTTTGGTATTGTGTTGCTAATAATTTGGCATTTGGGAAATGTATTTTCTTATCCCTCTAAAAGTAAGTTTGTCATCAAGAATGGTCACATTAAAAATCAATTTCTATTTTCAGGAAAGCCTACAAGCCTAACATTACAGAACATTTAAGTGACTTGGGAACTCAAGTCTATAAATAAGACATTCACATTCATAGCTTATCTTTAGGACTCTGCTACAGAAATCTTGTCTAGGTGATATGAAATCACCAACTATTACTCTATAGTTGACTACAAGTTAGACACTTAAACAATAAACAGTATTTTCTAGACTACATCTTGCCAATATGTATGTAAAAATTTTATCTAAATTTATGGGGAAAATATATTAAACCCCTGATGAAGTCCTAAACTTGTGTATCCACTGCTTCTCCATAAGACTTATTAAATTATCCAAGAAACAAGTTATACTACTTATTTTTAAATTGTTATTTCCCTCACTATGTTTGTGAGGTTGTTAGGGTGCAGTCAAGTGCTCCAGACAAAAATACTTAGCCAAGAATGATTCAAGAATATAGTTGACATTCTCGTTGAAAGGGCCATGGGATGAAGGAATTACGTGACCAGTTGGCAATGTCTTGGCTAAAGTTAAATAAATCAAAATAGCAGTGAGAGGAAAAGTATGGCATAAAAGAGATAATGGCAGGGATGAAATGTAGCAACTGCAAGAAACAATCATTTCAATGGCAAGAACAGATGCTGAAGGCAGAAACAAAGATGTCGTAGCAAAACAATGCTCAAAGTGGAGTACTTCTAAAAAGTTCAAATGTGTGGGAGAAAAAAAAAACATAGGAGGAAAGCTGCTGTTGTGATATGCCATAAAGTCAGAACCAATTTATAGACGACCCTTCAGGGTGTTTTTCAGAGGCAATAAATCACAGAGGAGGAGACTTCTTGTCTTTCTTTCTTGGTTATTTAATAACAATAATTTTAAGAAACCTGGGCCCTGTCTTAGAAGAGCTTATAATACAACATTTACTAGACTCAGTGCAAACATTACTTACCAAGTCAAGAGTTCTAATACTTTATAAACTAACACTCTGAAAATTCATACAGACACTTACTTATATGGTTTCTGTGGTAAGATACTGATTCGCGTCTTGTCAAGTATCTTTTTTAGCTTGTTCCTTCCTCCAACAGTATTGGCTTTACTTTTTTTATTGACTTTTTCAAGTCCTATCACTTGTTCTACATCTACAGCAAGATCTGGAATGGAATAGCGACTGGCCTTCTTGATGTCTCCAATTTTAGGGAGGTGAGGGGCACCATTTCTTTTCTCTTCTGCTAATCTTGTTAGAAGTTCTTTAAATACTAAATTGAGTGGAAACATAATAAACACCCAAAAGGTTAACTTTAAAAATCTGACCAACTCAAAAGACAATTATAAAATATCTGAGAATACAAATTCCTGCAATTGGAATTTCAGTCTTACAAGGGGAAAAATACTACTCCAGTGAATAAATGACACTAAGATTCTGTCTTATATACTACTCTAAGATTCTCTTATATACTACTCTAAGATTCTGTCTTATATACTACTCTGTAATGTTCATGCAGAATGAAAACAAAACAAAACAAAACAAAACCCCCACATTCAACATTCAATAATACAATTAATCACTGATATAGAAAGGTCTGCTTGGTATTTCAGTCAGTAAATTTTTATTTACATATAATTATATATTAATAGAATTAATTCAATAACCATGCAAGTAGCCCTCTTACAATCCTCTTACAATCTATTTTAGTTACGATGGATCACACTAGTAGCAATCTGGTGTGGGTTATAAAATATATTGTTGCTAGTGCTATGTACTACATGCAATGCTGCGAGAAGCACATAACGTGCTCTATGTTTACAGACAATTTATAAAGCATACGGACAAGAGTAATGATGTTCTACGTAAGATATTAGACTTACCAAAAATGCCGTATTATGGAGTTGTCAGAATAGAATGCCACTATAGTGAACTACCTATACATTTTATTGTAAATATTCTTACACTTTAACGTTTACTTTAAAAAATTACTTCTTTTACGATACAGCCTAAATGTTGGGAGTAGGTGGGTGGGAGAGAAGGGAGAGGAGACAATACTCACCAAATAAATTGGTTTTTACAGTAATAGATAAATGTGTGTTATTCCTAAGAATTTCCATGGCTTTTGAGAGCTGAATATTTTCAAAGTTCTGACCATTGACCTCCAGTATCTAAAAACAAAAATGTAAATTAATTTCAGTATTATATTTGACTGAAGAACACAGACACCAATATTCACACGTAAATCCCAATTTACAAATATCATACCTGATCCCCACGCTTCAAGCCTGCTTCAGTTGCTTTGCTCCCTGAATCGACACTGTCAACGAAGATCCCAAATCCCTTTTCTGAGCCTCCAAGTAAGATGAAAGGCAAAGGAGCTTCTCGAGAAGGTTTTGTCAATGTCATCAATCTTCGTTTGGCTTTAGCTGCACATGCAATATTTAACAGCCTCAGATGTCCACCCATTTTCTACAAAAGTTCAGAAGAAGTGGTTTCAACACAAAGGTAGGATGAATAAAAGGAACTTAAAGCCGATCAAGATTTCTTAAAAATTGCAAATATTACCTCTCTTTCAAGATTATTTTCAAATTCTTCTAGAAATCGAGTCATCGCAGGATCTCCTTCAAAGTCATTGAAGTGATTATTCACCCACAGTAATACTACCCGTGTAACCTAAAAATAAGTTATTTGGAGTGAATTTTCTACATTTTAATGTGAAAAAGTTGCAATTAAAATTGTTTTGAAAGCAATCTAAGTATCAGATGACACAATTCTATTTAATGAAAATATAAAGAAGGAAAAGCCTCAAAGAGGCTTTTACTCATAAAAGCATGAACTTTTGAAAAATAGATTTATATTTTAAAAGATGGACTTTTTATTTATTTTCTCAGAATAGTTTGAATTTGTGGATTCACATGTTACTTTTAAAATGTATTTACAGTAATCACAATAAAAGTATAAAAAGTATAATAAAATTAAAATAGATTACTACAACACAATTGAAAAGATAAACTAAAAAATAAAGGCAGAGGAATGGAACAGGTAAAGGGAATGAATAGCACTAAGTTTACAGAGCTCTGTAAGTAAACAGATTATCAGAAGTAAATAGCTGGGAGTAGACAAATACTTGCTTGAATAAAGATTTAGGAGGTTGATAGCACCTAAAATTACCTAGGAGGAACAAGTAGCCTTTTCATGCCCTGCATCAATGTTTTCACAGTCTTATGCAGACTACTACATGTTCACAGCTAGTAATATTTGTGTTACACCTGGTGAGAATTACTGGATGGTCATGAGACCTTAAGGTTCACAGAGTCAACATCCTCTACTAGGTTATGAACTCTGACTACCATATACTAAAATGTACCTACCACCTGGCATACAGTAAGTCCTCAAGAAAATGTTGCTGAATGAAAGAATAAAATATAACTACAACTTTAAACACAGCACACCTGTGTATATATTATTTTAAAAAGTTTAAAAAAGCATCACTGTTGAGTAGGCAGCAACTCATAGATGACTCTCTAGCAGGTTTTCAGATTGTGAATCACATGGGAAGAGACTGCTCATTTTTTCTGATATAAAGCTGCTGGTGGATTTGAACTAGCTACCATTAGATTATTAGCACAACTCTATCATTCAATTAGAGCTTCCTTGTATATATATGTTTAATTTTCTAGATGTGAATAATAAGCTAAAATGAACTTTCTACAGAATTAATCAGCAAAGTGAGAAATTAAAACTTCTGTGCAATACCACGCTCAGAAGGGTGGAGGGACATCCAGAAGAGGAAGACCCCCACGTGAGATGGACTGATACAGTAACCAGGGCAATGGGGGGTTGATGTGTCGGAGTCAGTGAGACTGGCTCAGGGAAGGGCAGGCTTCAAAAATACTGTACTGGACAGCACATAACAACATCAATGTAATATATTATGATGTAGTTAATTTTAACAAATCACAGTATATAATCTGATCCATCACTTAAAAGTTAAGTCTTTATGTGGGCATTAATATTTTGTCATTTAGTACTTTTGCTCATTTTTCAAATTTAGGGAAATAAAAAGATCATCTCCCTTAAAATCATGTTTAACTTCAGATTGTTTAATAAAATCTTAATTGCTAGTTTCGAAGGCAACTTAAAAGAAATCAGATCTTTTACAGAGGAGAAAAACAAGATTCATAAATTATAAATTGAATACCAACTGTCATCATCAGCAATAATGAATAACATTTAAGATCCATTGTTTACTGTGAACTAGACAGCAAGTAAAGAACTTGCATTATTCCATTTGAACCTCATAAAATCCCCAAAGCAGGTCTATTATTTATATCAGAAGTGAAAAAAATCTGAGTAACAGAACATCAGATAAAACACAAAATATATGGCAGAAGCAATAATTAAGTATATAAGGGTTAAATTATTCCAGGTTAACAAATCTAATACTATGAAATAAAAAACATTACTGTCCAAATGATGAAAGATCACAAACGTAGTGAGTTGCAAAACCAGCACTTTGGAGTTTTAATATTCTGGATTTAGTCCGTGTTCTATATTTATACACTCTGCATCCTCTCCCACATCTGTCATATGCCAAGTAAGACTGTCATGTGGAAAGAAGAAATGACTATAACCTACAATGATCTCTCACAACTCTTAGGACAATGAAGATGATGCAGTTTACCATCCAATTTAGTCTTACTAAAGCTTTCCAGAGCTTAAGTGGAGCCTACTTGGAATTCTATTACTGAACCTGTCAGCCAGTAATTATTGCTGTTCTTGCGTACCACAGGGTTGGAATCAACCCATAGCTGACTCTCTGGCAGGTTTTCAGAGGCAGTTAATCTGCATGGGAAGAGATTGCCCATCCTTCCCTCGCAGAGTGGCTCGTGGTCTCAAATCATGTGCCTTCAGGATTGCAGCACAGCTTTTTGCCACTAGGCCACCAGAGCTCTCTCCGCCAGTGATTACTGAAATGAAATATTGTTCTAGTGCCATTTCAAAATTAACTTTTATTTGCTGACAATGACTATTTACTAAAGTAGAAAAATGTCAAGTTACAATAGAAATCGAACTCTTAAAATATCTGGTAGCCAGTTTATTGCTGTTTGCATGAAAATCAGCCAGTTCTAGAGTTTACTTTATAGTGTGTGCCATCGAGTCAGAACTGACCCACAGCTGACCTTCCAGGAGCAGAAAACTGCAAAGGAGGAGACTGATCATTCTCCCATGAAGCAGCTGGCAGATTCAAACATGCATGCCTTCCAGACTGCAGCACAGATTCTCTTTTGCTTGAAAAGTTAAGCCCTAAACATTATCTTATTCCATTAAATTAATTTTAACATAAATGGTGCAAATATTTAACATTTATGTCTTAAAACAGAATGTATTTTCCAACCTTATCCCTGAGGCTCGGGTCATTAAACCACTCCAACAACCTTTTGCCCACTTCCATTGGGCTAGAAAGAAAAGTCCTATAGGTCAACAGAAAGTCTTCAATGAATGTCGGATCCACCACCGAATGCTCTTCCACCAAATGCATTGTCAATCTTTCTGAGGTTCCCTGTAGCAAATAAAAATTTAATCACTACCCTGCACAAATAACATTTAGATTTTATTTAAATCTCAAACTTGAAATTTAAAACTAGGTTGTAATACAGAATGACAACATGCAGTTCATCTAGAAATACAGACTTTTAAAAGTTAACTTTGAAGAGATGTTATGCTTAAAAATGAATGAGGGAAAAATTCTATGAAAATTTTTGGCGACAGCAAGACTGTAAAATTCTAAATTGTCATAAGTGATTATACGTGGAGATAAGGAGGGATCCTTCATCTGGGGACGTGAGCTGGGCTGCTTTACCTTGATGACAATATGACCTTTTCTTGTCCCTGTTCGATCAAGTTCCCGATGTTCTTTCACCATAACAATCTCTCCTTCCTCTTCAACTTTTTGCATGTTCTTTTCTACTTGGTTGAGGATACGGCAGTAATCTTGCTGTGCTATGCAGACAAACTGGAATAAAATAAAAGTCATGTATTAATGATAAAGTGCTTGCACAGGATCTAGAAGTACTAATAACTCTGTGTTTTAATTATTTAACACTGACATTTTTCCATGTCTCTCCCATACTTTTTAAATGAATACAGTAATGAAGCTTAATCACATTTCTCTAATTTTTAAATGTCTATTTCTCCTTTGAACAAGGAAACTTTTATTTTTAGAATAGTTTTATGTGGTTTATACCAAAAACCCTAACAATTTAAAAATATACATGATAACATTTAGATGGGTGTTATTTCTATGCCTTTCTGTGACAGTTATAAAACATATGGAAAAGGAAATAAGTAAACTTTAAAAAAATCAATATTAAAAATAATTACCTAATTTAAAAAATTAGATAATATCTTAAAATCAATTTAAAAAGTAGAAATAGATGATTTTTTATGAATAATTCGGTAACATTCAAAGGTAACTATAGAATATTATAAACTTGGTAATTATATAAGACACTTTTAGGAAGTGTTTAAACAAGGTCACAAAACATTTTCATTCAAATATTTATTTCTATATCTGATATTAAAGCAGTCACTGCTCCTAAAATAAAAAAAGGAAGAAAATTGCCAATAACATGCACATAAAGCAATTACTCTCCATGATTCCAAGTATTAAGATTGAGCACCTATTACAAGAAAGTAGTGAATCATATTGGAAAAAACCACAATGCAGTATTTTCTCCAATTCATTTAGCAAGTATCATCATATTAATTTTTCTATTAAGAATTTTAGAAGCAAAAACTTAAAAACTCAAAAGATGCAGGTTTTTCTTGTACAAGTACAGTCTTCAACTACAATAACAAACTTAAAACCTATAGTTATGAACAAACACTTGAAGGACATACAATAGTTCTTTATAGCAAGTGAGGGCTACTTTGTGATGCAATTGAAAAACATTATTCTTCTTTCTAACATTATGTTAAAATTGCTTTAATAAATCTAGAAGTTTCTTTAAAGTTTTTGACACATTTTGTTGTTGTTGAGTTGGAACTGACCCACGGCTGACTCTCTGGCAGGTTTCCAGAGGCAGTTAATTCCATGGGAGGAGACTGTCCAGCCCCTTCCCCCAGAGGGTGACTTCTCAAGATTGTAGCACAGCTTTTTACCACCAGGGTTTTCTTTTCACACATAAAAAGGTACATTAAATATTAAGACAAATATTTAGCTGACTAATCGCAAGAGAGGAAGACCCTGGATGAGATGGACTGACTCAGTGACTGGTGTAATGAGCGTAGGTGTGAGACTGGCACAGGACAGAGCAAGGTTTAGGGTTGTTGTACATAAGGTCGCTATGGGTTGCAGGCGACTCGACAGCACATAACAAAAACAGTGTAAGATACCAACCATATCTACCTGTACCAACTTATATACAAATTTAACTTACGACAGGCTTAGGTTCAGAATTTTTTCATAATCCTGGGACTACCTGTAACTGTAATGAACTCAAAACCCACTGCCATCAAATTAGTTCTGATTCACAGACTCTCCATCAGGTTTCTAAAGCTGGAAATCTTTATTAGAATAAACTGCCCATCTTTCTCCTATGGAGTGGCTGGTGGATTCAAACTACTGAACTTGCAGTTTTCAGCCTGTTATGTTATGTGCTACACCATCAAAACTCCTGAAATTTTGTCTATTTTAATGAAATAAAATTTTTAAAAACCAACTCTTCTCTGTGTCAGTGATCATAGGTACACAGTTTTGAAATATGTAGTCTTTTACTCAGCTGTTGCAAATTATTTTTTCTTTTTGTGCTGTAGCAAAGTTGTTCCCTAAATATGGATTAATAATTAATTTCTTAAAGTTTCATGTCCAAATAGTTTTAGGCATTCTATTACATTTTAGAGACCATAATTAAATCATCATTTTCTCATTTATTTTCTAAAAAAAGAAACAGATCACTGAAAAGACATTACATGAAGTAAAATGCTTTCAAAGAGAAGTGCACAAAATTCATTTTCAATAAAAACTCAAAGGTGACTTCCCATTAAAAATTCCAAACTGACCTTCTAATGTAACTATTATCTACAAAGATGTACATTTCAATAAAAATTTTTATCTAGTTCTAATTTTAATGTTTATTTTGCTTTAACATAGTTTTATAATCAGTTATAGAAGACTACTATGAAATTCACAAATATCATTTCAACTAGTAGAAAAACCAATTGAAGATATGTTAATTAGTAGATTTATATCAGAATTCCCTGGGTAATTTACATCGCTAATTTAGTTGGCTGCTAACCAAAAGTTGACAGTTTGGTCTACCCAGCAGTTTTGTGAAAGGCCTGGTGAGCTACTTCTGAAAAATGGCCACTGTATGCTCGGTGGAGCACAGATTTACTCTGACACGTATGGGGTCACCCCTAGTTAGAATTGACTCAATGACCACCAGTATTCACTTTCAGCAAGGTATTAACACATGAAAGAACTGAATGGCCTTGGTACCACAACATGGAATAAAAACTCAAGCATAATTTAACTTATGGAAGAACCACAGAAATTTATCTCACAGAATCATTTTCCGTTAGGCAAAAGACTCCATAGTTATACAGAAATTATAAGACCATTAATTAGCTTTCAATCAACAAACAGTATAGTCAGCTTCCAGTTTATCCATGGCAAATGACCTCCTCCTAAATTATTTAAATTAAAGGCATCATTAACTCCTCATATCCCAGGAAAATTGTGAATCTAACAGAGTTTATTTTAAGAGGTTAGCTCTTATTTAACCTGGTACTTTGCAGTCCATAAGGGAAAGTCATACCTAATTGTTCACATAGGTATCCAAGTGTTCATTCCCCACCGAAAGGTGTAAGGCAGGGCTAAGCAATGCCTGGGGAGTCACTGGCAGGCCTAAGACACAGGCAGTGGAGAAGGAAAAGGGGAGAGGAAAAGGGAGGAAGGGGGTACAGGTAGAGGAAGGAAAAAGGGACAGGAGAAGGAAAAAAGAAAAGAAAGAGGTATATATGGGGAATGGATAAACCACCAATTGCCTGGTTCAATCGGACGTTTACACCTGGCTATGACCTTTGCCCTTCAAACCAAATAGAGGAGAATAAGAATAGACAATGCAGAGAACAGCACAAGAGAAGGAATCTACAATAGAACACAACCTTCAGCATTTCCTGAGATCCCAATGAATAGAAGCACTAATGTTAATCCACTCTCTGTTGTGTCCCTAGACTTAACACAAGCTCAGCTATTTATCACATTATACAGTATTTATTTCAAGAATTACAGGAATTTAAGATAATGAGGGTTAATCACAATATTGCTGCTTCTTGATAAAAGAGTTCATAATTTTCTTCATTTCATTCAGTAACTGACAATCCTCTGCAATGTGCTAAATAGAATATATGATTCTACTTCTTTTACTTACAAGAGGATGAACTGCCATTTGTACATTTGTACTAATATGTGTACTAATAAGTGACATTTTAACAAAAAAAAGTTTGTTAAACTTGAATGTTTTTTCATCAAGAATATACTTTGAAACGTCCAAAATCATTCTCCCTCCCTGTTCCACTAGTAATTTCATGCTTGAACAGATGGAGTGATGGAAGAACAGGAGTGATTCGCTCAGAAAGGAATAGAGGAAGAATAAACGTATCTGTAGCCGGTTTGACTTTGACTCTTCTGTACTTACAGAAACCTTCTATTAGGAGCAACTACAGTCTCCTAATAACGCCGTCACTCTAGGTAAACTGCTACTTCCCATATCCTTTATTAAATAACTTGGATTTTTCTTCCTAACATAACTGCAGGAGAAGGATGGGCAACCTTCTCCCATGTGATTAACTGCCTCCAAAAACCCACCAAAGGGTCAGCTATAGATCGGTTCTAACTTTACGGTACACTATAACAACATGACTTCTGTGCAACTCCCCCCCCCTTCTTTTCTAAGGGCTCCCAGAAAAATATTTCACATACCTGGTATACCTGACTTGAGCATGTGGTGATATTCAGTCATACTGTTTTTATCGATTTTTTGGAAACATTCAAATGTCTCTTTAGTCTAGCACTTACAAAACTTCTAATACTTCAGTCTTACACTTATGAAATGTCTAACAAAAGGGTTTGGCAAATTAGTGGCAGTACGATAAAAGGATTCTAACTTTTACTTGTCCTTTTAGTATTGGAGAATCAATCCTACTTGAATGCTTTGTAATCTCAAAATATAGAAGGATTTGAGGAAGAACTGTTAAGTGATGAAACAGCGGAGAAACAACTCTAACTCCCTTAGCTCAGTTTGTTGTTTTGTACCATAAGCTGTAATTGACCCACAGCCGACCCTTTGGTGGGTGTTCAAAGGCAGTTAATAACACAAGAGAAGACTGCCCAGCCTTCTCCCACCGAACAGCTGGAGGATATGAACTGTGTGCCGTTAGGGTTGCAGCACAGCTTCCTGCCACTAAGCCATCAGAGCTCCCTTAGCTTAACATTATTTTATTTTCAAAAGTATCATTCTCCAGCTAAAATATCATATATAATTTTCAAAATGAACATTCTCCAGCCAAGTAAAGACGGGGAATCTAGCCACCATTTTCTTTTTCCCTACTATGCCAAATAACTGAAAATTTACTGTATTTAAAATGCCTTTCTGATACTACATATTTAAAGTACTTCATTCACAGCCATTTCTGTTTCCGCCTTGAAAGTACTCACTAGAGGAATTATTTGGTAAAATAATTTTGATACTCTTTAAGATTATTTTCTTTATAGCTATGGTTACTTTTCCTTTCAGTAAATAAAAGATCAAAAATGAAAATTTTAGAGATCTTAGATCAACTAGGTACTATAAAAACTTAAAATTCTTTTAAAATAAACTACATTGTCTTTCAGATTGCAGATAACAGAATACCATTGTTATTTATTAGATATAATTACACTAAATATTGATCAGTCTAGTAAAATATTTTTGTTTATATTAAAATACTTTGGGTTTTTTTCAAAGATAAATATGTAAAAAGTTAAGATAAATTATAAATAATTAACACATGCATCTTAAATTTATTTTTATTCATAGAATATTACTAACTAAATCAATCTTGTTATTAGAAGTCATTGAGCTGAGTACGACTCAGCAATCTTATAAATTTTTATTTTACCTGAAAATTTGTTACCTATTATTCAAGAATTTTCCTACCAAGTATTTTTTAATTGTCCTGAATTTATTTTTAGTTAAGTATTTTCTTTTTATTAATAACTATTTTGCTAATTGTTTTTCTACCGATTCATTATCATAATAAATTTTCATAACTTTTAAAATTCTTTATTGTATGCATTCAAATGCTTTGCAACTATATACTAATTTTATTAATCTATTTAAAATTTATTTTAATAAGGGAGAATTGATGCTTTTGAGCTTTGGTGTTGGAGCAGAGTGCTGAGGATACCATGGACTGCTAAGAAAACAAACAGATTCACCCTGGAGAGGGTTAAACCAGGCTGCTCCTTGGAGACAAGGATTCTGAGACTTCGTCTCACATGCTTTGGTCATGTTGTAAGGAGGGACCAGTCCTTGGAGAAGGACATCATGCTTGGGAAGGTGGAGGGCAGGTGCAGGAGGGGTTGGCCCTCTGGGAGGTGGATTGATTCAGTGAGTGGGGCAATGGGGATGAGTGTGTTGGAGACAATGAGATTGGCAAAGGACAGAGCAGAGTTTAGAGCTGTTGTACATAGGGTCGTGATGAATCGCAAGTGACTCAACGGTACATAACAACAACAACAACAAATAATGACATTCATTTCTTTTTTTTAGGAACAAATTTTACTTACTAGTGACAGAAATTTTTAAATATTATATTCATTTTATGGCAACCTTACTTCTGTGCAGTTAAACAACTTTAAGGAATACTTATTTTTCATTTGATGGTCTTAATAAATGGTCTACTTTAAAATACTAATTAAAGGTATAAAACAACCTACTATATACATAGAAAAATCTCACCAGTGTCCTATGTAAGTGTTCTACAATAAGGATAAAAAAAAATATATCATTAATTGTATCTTATACCTGGCAGTCATCCACCTTTGTTCTCATTACTCCTTTCATGTATTCTTTGTCCATTGTAGGAGAGACACCAAAACTGTTTCCCATACATAGTATCTCAGCTTTTCCATCCGGGTAAGTAACTTCCACAGAACCATTCAGAATCACTGACCAGGAATCCAGCTAATATTTTTTTAAAAAAGAAAGATTAAAAATCATACATTGAACAAAGTAAAAATATTATCTATATTAGCAACTATTTTAAGTATTTATATTTGTGCAAGCCAAAGTGCTAGAATTGTCCCCTGAAAATTATGTATAGATCTTTAATTTTAAAGATGAAACAAACAACTGAAGCATTTATATATACACAAGGCTTTTTTTCCCTTTTATTTCTTTCTTGTTGAGACAACACATGGAAAAACATCTATTAATTCAGCAGTTTCTACATGTACAATTTAGTGACATTGATTACATTCTTTGAGTTCAGTGACCATTTTGACCCTCTTAAACTCACTGCTCCCTAAGGTTCCTATCTTATCTTTTGAATTGCTGCTGTCAATCTGATCCCATATAAAGAGTTCTTAAAAGAACACAATTCTTTTTACCAGTTGATCTAAATTGTGTTTTAAATAACTGAGGGATCTGTTTTTTATTTAAGTTATAAAGATAACCTTTCTAGAGTTAATCTGTGTTTGTTGGCTTCAGAGAGTCTAGTGTCTATGGAAATTTCAAATTGTTTTATATTTCCCCTACTTTGATAACACTGGGGGGAGTGTCCCCCTTTGATCAAGATAGGAGAATTTTTTTCCTTTTTGATCAAAGTAGGGGGGGGGGAATCTTTCTTCAAAATTATAGTTAAACACCATTGAGTTCTCTTAGACTTAGGGCAAAAGAGGCCATGGAATTTACTAGCCATATATTCCAAACTCTCCTCCAATTCTTCTCCTATTGCTCCAGAAAAAAAGAAACAAATAAATTGTTGTGAATGTCCAACTGTGGACTATGAAGAACTTGGGCACTATGTAAGGAATGAGAAGGTACAATAGAAACATTATCTCATTAAGTTAGGAATCTAAATTTCCAAACCAAGGAATAAAATTTCTGTGGTGTCCCGACCCTGGTCACTGCTGATAAAATACTACCACACAACTTCTGTCAATTCAACTTTATGCAAATTTCCAGCAAACATAATGACAGCAATTATAATCTTAGCTGTGAGACCCTCCCTTTTTTATTCTGATAAAAGGCAACAGATTGTATGAATATGTATGATACAAAAAAATAAAAAATTAATATATTACAGGTATGTGTACCTACAGGGATGTGTTTAAGTATATTCCTTTAAAAAAAATCATCACGTAAGGAAAAAAAATACAAAAATAAAAACCACCAAAACCCAAAAACACAGTTCTAAAGCTAAGAAGGTATGTGGCAAGCAAAGTAGAGAAACTGTACTGGATTTTGAATTCTGGTGTTAGTGAAGAGTACTGAATATTCCAAGAACTGCCAGAAGGACAAATTGATCTATCTGAGAGGATGTGCAACCAGAGAATTCCTCAGAGGCAAGAATGGAAGTTATCAGCATGGACCAGCCCTAGGAAAAAGGGTAGCAGGCTCGGAAAAGTAGAGGGTGAGCAAAAGAGAGAAAGGCCTACAAGATAAATTAATATTGTGACTGTAACAATGGACTTGAGCATGTTAGAAATCATAAGGATAGTGCTGAGGACAGGGTGAGGTTTTGATCTGTTCACTGGGTTGCAATGAGCTGCAGTTGATCTGACATGTGTATGAGTGTATACACACACGTATACAATAAAGCACATATGAATCACATTATGTCTAATTCTTAGATGTTAATGAAACATCTTGAGATTAGTTTCCTAGGTTTGAAGGTTTAGGACAGCAATAGCTTTGTGAATGATTCAGTATGTGTTGCATAGTATTTAAGGTTTGAACAGCTTGCAAATGACTCTAAGATATGATTATTATTTTCTAGTTATCTAGACAAAAAAGAAAGAAGAGAAAGACTCAGAGAAGGAAGCAGTCTACAGGACTAATAAGTCAACAACAAACCATGGCCTCATCTATTCTAACACCAGAAAAGCTAGATAGTGCTAGCACTACTAAAAATTTTGAACATGGCCACAATACACAGACAAATTCTGATGGAATGAGAAAAAAAAAGTGGAACATAGTTTGTTATCTTAAAGAGTTCAAACTTACCTAGACCTGTTGAGACTAATGGATTACCTAAGACTATGATCTTAATATACTCTTTAAACTTTAAACTAAAATTACCCTTTAAGGTTATTTCTTAGCAAAATAACTGACTGGCTCATAAAAGAAATAATATCACTAATGATTGACAAACTCCTTTAAAACAATCATTTCTATAAGAAAATTGTCTAAAAATTCCTCTAAGGCAAAGAGGAGAAGGTACAGGGAAGAGGGAAATAGAGTGCTGGATATGATACACAAAAAAAGGAATAAATCATAATAATGACACATTAGGAATACAGAATAAGTATCATCATTTGTGTAGATACTGTTAAATGGAAACAGATACTTCTGTGTAAACTTGAATTTTATGAACAGAATATTTAAAAAACATGATATAGAAAAAAAATGTCTATCACTAGAGATACTAGGTAAACATGTATATTTGCAATGTTTGACCTAAGGAAAAACTCATAATACTTATTTTTTTTCAATATTTATTGGTCACTGTTGTTAAAGGAGGAAGTAAAATTTAGACTTTTTCTCTTTTGCTGTATGGACAGATTTCTAGATAAAGCTTTTTCTGAGTGGCAGAAGTTATTTACCAACCTCTTCACCATCATTTAACACAATGGTCCCAGCTCTTTCCACCACCGCAAACACCATTACAGCACAGAGTTCTCGTCTCACTGACATTGTCATATTGGCAAAAGCAGGCAACTGGTGCATAAATTCCAAGAGTTGTTCTGAGAAGCAAAAGAAATTCATTGTCAACAGTATTACTTTATCAAAAAACGGGTAACAAAAAACACATTAAGGTTCTTTCTTAAAAAAATGTTCTACCATCTTACCTACTGTGAAATACAATAATTTTAAGTTATAGTTAGTACAAGAAACTATACTTCTTTGCTGAATCAGAAACAACAGTGTATACTTTAATTCAAGTTCTAATAAATTACTAAAGCTCAATTGGAGTATGTTTGTTGAAAATTAAATGATCTTACTAAACCCTATTGAAGACTTAAATAATGGAAAATAAGAGCTTTGCAAATTCTCCAGAAAGTCAGATGTACAACTCCAGAATTTAGTAAAAGATAAAGATACTTAAAAGTTAAGGAATATTTTCCATGAAACTATAAATATTTTTACAACATGATAATATACATGCAAAAAAAAACTGATACACTATTCCTTATTCTTCAGATTGCCCAAAGGAAAAAAAAACAACAACCAAGCAAACCACAAAACAAGGTTGATCACTTTTCCTATTTGACGCTATGGAAAAGCAGGTATACCCATACAATGTCGATGATATGCAAAATATTAATTTTATTTTATTAATTAGTGTCTAATAAAAACTAAATGCCTAAGAAGGAGTCTTGGTGACATAGTAGGTTACATGCTGGGCTGCCAGCTGAATAAAGGTTGTTGTTGTTGTTGTTGTTATGTGCCGTCGAGTGAATAAAGGTAGGCAGTTTAAATTAAACAGGTGCTCCTAAGGAAAAAGGTGAGGTAATCTTTAATTAAGATTTACACCCTTAAAATTCCACTGGTGGTTTGTCATGAGTTAGGATCAATGTAGCAATGATGGGTTTTGAGGTTAAATAAAATCACAGAATTCTAGATGGCACAAATGATTTGTAATCAGCAGCTATCACGAAGTTTGAAAGCTATTATCTAATCACCTGTCCTCAAGTTGATTCTGACTTACACTGACTCCTACAGGACAGAGTAAAACTACTTCATAGTGTTCCCAAGGCTAAATATGTCTTTAAGAGTAGACTATCAATTCTTTGTCCTGCAGAGGGGCTAATGTGTCCAAATCACCAAACTTTTAGTTAGTATCAAGTGTTTAATCATCGCGCAATTAAGGTTTCCCCTTAAACATTACAGCCAAGAAAATCCTGTGGAGCAGCTGTACACTATGCTATCATGAGTTAGGAGCCAATTTGACAATAGCTACAACAATAAAATCAGAGATGCCTTTGGAGAAAAGTCTGGAAGACTTTTAATGAAGAACATGAAAAAAATTACATGTGAAAAAAATTATGTGTGTTGAAGATTTATTACTTCATGTTGTAATAACACAAAATCAGAAACAGTCCAGTATCCATTTTAAAAATAAAAAACCCTCAATGACCAAGTAGGATATACAGTATGCTACCTTCTGTGCAAAGAAGGTGGAAGAGGTAAAAAAAGAGAAATAAAAGGCTGCTTCATACACACCCAACAATGAATGTATGTCTGCACATTTGCTTGGATTAAAAATATAAGAATAAATAAAAAACTAATGAACATAATTATTTTTATAGGATGAAAAGGTGCTAGAAACGAAATTTCAGTCTACACAATTCCTTTCTATACAATTTTAAACTGATTCACACAATTACATTTAGTACAAAATATGAAATTGTTAAATCTACATAAAATGGTAGCACAATGTAGTCAAATATAAAAAAAGAGGTAGCTAAGTCAAATAAAGGCAGCTTGGGGTAGTATAGTCTGCTGGGTGACTCATGTAAGTAACAGTCACAGAAATGTGAAGCAGTAAGACAGTTCAGGCTCGGTGGCAAAGAACTGAGTCAATTACATTACCTATAATAACAAAATTAAAAATGTGAATGATACAGAAATACGTTTTATATATTCAATTATACGACTATGTTGTATTTCTGTATCTAGAACAAGCATTTCAGAACTCAGTATAAAAATCATTCCTAGTTTATTTCGTGCTCAGCACCATTCTGCAAGTGACCAGAGGGGACATGACTCATAGACTGGATACGTTCTTAGGTTTTCAGTTAAATAAAAATCTAGCTCTCATACTTTTGTATAATGTGGTCACTAAGTAGAATACACAGTAGAAAAACAGACATAAGATTTTGGTATAAAAAAGTTAGCATTTCATTTCAATGAAAAAGAACTAATTTACTGAGCAAATACTTGAATTGATTAACAATGTAGGGAAAAACTGGATGATAACATATGCATTAAGACGGCTATTTTTCAATAAAAGCTTAGAGTTTACTAGAGAGCAACCAAAGAGGCTACTTAAAACTGATAGGTTAACAGTTAATCAAAGAAAAAAAAGTTTTATATCATGAGAAATTTGTAATATGATTTTATATAGGGATAAGCATACCAAGAGGAATATGAGAGGGAGTATCTTGAAAGTGAGATACAGGTTCTAACAAAAAGAGAAGTTCAATCCCACAAATTATATTTTTAAAAAATTAAAGAAATCCTTGGCTGGATTTGTTTTATTTAAAACATTATTAAAAGGTATATTGGTAATGAGGAACTTGCCATTTTCGACATAGCTTAAGAATATAAAATATCCAACTTTTCTGGAGGGAAATAAAAACCAAAATAATAAATTTTTTCTTGTCTTGAGGTTGGGCAGCTCCTCAATAAAACAGGCTTGGAAGCAGGAGTGGCATCCACTTCAGAAATAGCTTGCCTCCAGAAACTTTATGAACTTAGAAAAAAAGAGGAAAGTTTTCTGTGTTCAAGACTTTCATTCATAGGGTTGCTATGAGTTGTCTACGACTCAACGGCACTGAGCAACAACATGGAAAGACAAAAGTTAAGGTACAGATAAATGGTTCCATCAGAATGTTATAAATACTGGTCCTATTTAGAAAAACAAATAATTATGTGGTGCTTGTTACAGATATCATTTCTTTTTCGTTTTTATAAAACGGACCACCCTTCCTGTTCTTCCGCTTTACAAGGTGATGGAGGAAAGTGAGTGTGAAGAAAGGCACCCAAGGAATGTATCAGTCATACACATGTTCATAGTTCACATAAAAGATATCTACTGCAGCCAAGAACTGAAGTATACCTTATTTTCACAAAACACATTGATGTAAATAACATGCTACATGTGCAAACAACACTAATAAGCTAATGTGGGAGGGGTTTAAATAGTTTCACATTATCATGTAATGGGTGTGTTATTTAAATTTAACAAGAATAACAGCCCCAAGAGAGAAAAGAGTGCTTATGTTTGGTTTAGTTCTGAAAAACACTAACTACAAGATCTTTGGAAATCTTGTGTAATCCAAACTGTATTTTTCTTTTTCCCTTTTATTTCAAACCACATTCACTGAATGTTATCTTTTATGTTTATACATTATTACTTTTTAAAAAATGTATATTTGGAAAAATCATTCAAAGTCATTAGTATCTGCACGTGAATTTACAGCTAAGAAATACAACTCATTCACTGAGATTATACCAATAAGCATATCAAAAAGAATTGAGACATTTCTGCTTTCCAAAAATTTTCTAGGAGAGAAATCTTTTCAGATTGAAGCTAAAGTCTGAAAGGAAGAATAAATAGGCTACACATATTTTAGCATTCAACAATTTCCTGATAACTACCTTAAAAAGGACAGATTAAAGGAGAAGATATATAAGTTTAATAAAAAGTAACTCCCAAATCAATTTGTTCTTAGTATGTTTCGTTCAAAAACAAATGAAAAACCAAATAACCAACCAATGCTGGGGGTAAGGATCCTGGTTTAAGATGGAAAAATATTAAAAGGGAATAATTTCATTTCTTCTTTGAACTGACAATAAAGAGATTCTTTTTTTAAGTTAGCAAAGACAGAACAAGAAAATTAAACATAATGAACATGTGACATTAGACATGTGACACTCAGCCTTCAGGCAGTAAAATTTAGAATCAGTCCCATTTATGCTCAAATTTACCACCATCTAGCCAATTAAGATTCTAGCAACCCTCCATCAGGTTTCTGAAACTGTAAATCATATGAGAAGACACTGTCCATCTTTCCCCCTTGGCATCACTAGCAGATCTGAATGGGAGGAGATGAGCAGGCAGCAGTCTTTTGGTTAGGAGTGCAACATACTACAGATTATGCCACTAGAATTCCTTCATTTATGCTCTAGAATCCTTGAAAATCTTTAAAAGAACAAGACCAGGTGTCCCTAGAAAGATGAACAAAGGAGTCAATGGATGAAAACAAAGAGAGAAAAGGATGGATTTGAGAAACAGTTAAATCCCTCATCCTAGGCATAAATCTGGAAGTTAATTACCTGGAATGTTAATGCCATGCATACTTTGTCATAGCCTAAACTAAGAAAATAGATATGATGAAAGACAAAGAAGATTCTATTAGGAAGCTTTCATTGATATTATTTGCAGACCCTCAAAATAACTGACATTTGTTTCAACAACTGCTACACTCTCTACTCAAAGGAAATGAAACTTTTAAAAAAAACCCAAAACCTAACAGTAGTGTCATTGTTAGCTACCATTAAGTCAGTCTCCAATTCATGACAACCTCATGTGCAAGGGGAATGGAAGTTACTGATCCCTAGCTGATTTCAGAGGTAGATTACTAGGCCTTGCTTTCTAGTTTGAAAGTTCCCTTGACACCTGTGTTTCATGGTATAAAACAGAAACCTCCACCATCAGATGGGACAGTTGCTGTTTCACACGGAGTGCAATGGCTGGGGATGAGCCCAGCTCTTCTGCCTGGAAGAGGCAAAACCTACCAATAAGCCATCATTGCCCTGTCAGTCCTAGGTTCTATTGTATTTAGGCTATGTTATCTCTGTATACTTTTATATGGTTTAGATTACTTCTTCTAATACAAACTTACCAATGTCATCATCTGTCCTGTCAATTGGGTCCTTCTCAAGACAGTCTCTCACAATGTCTCTACTCATCAGAGGATCAGATGCCCTCTCAATGTCTTCTTCATCATCCTCATCCTCGGAATCGACTGCAGTTTCAGGTAACCCACTAAGGTCCATATCACCAGCCTCACTTTCTGTGGCCTAAACATAAGAAGAAAGAAAAAAAAAAACAAAAACAAAAACAAAACTATTCAGCAACTTTTAAAAAAGTAAATCAATGCTTTGAGTTGCTATTGTTTGTTGTTATATGCCATTGAGTTGCCAACAACTTACAGCAACCCTATGTACAATAACTCTGAAGCTTGCCCTATCTTGAGACAGGCTCTGCGACTCGGACTCATCTACCCTTATTATCCCAGGTACAGTGTCAATCTACTTCATTCGGGATCATCTTTTCCTGTGTTTTCCCTCCACACTTCCAAGCATGATGTCCTTTTCCAAGGACTGGTCCCTACTAGCCATGTGCCCAAAGTATGTGGGACAGAGCTTCAAAATCCTTCCCCTCCTAAGAGAAACTTGCTCTGAGTGAAAAAAAAAAAAATACTGTCATTTATGTTGTGTTTATAACTGTATGAGTAAATTAGAGGTATTAACACCCAACAAATATTTCTGTACCAGGCACTGTATAAAAAAATTCCTTCAACAAATGAGTGACTTTTTAAAATTTTTGGTGTTTATTACCTCAGAGATGTTTCTTATTTGAGCTGCCATGTGGCAACTGCAATGTAGTAGAATATAGAGTAAGACAGCATTTGCTTTAACTAAAAAAAAAAATGCTTAAGGATAACCATTAATTTTCAAAAATTTTTGCTTCAAAGCAGTATGTGTGAATTATTAAAGCCAAGCAGATTCAATCACCCCTCCTTTGTTAAAAGGTCTTTAAAAAAAATGAACCACAGCTCAAAGGAAGCTTGATAAATATACAACCAAAAGCACTGAGAATTTAGTTGGATGACCCCAATGAATACTCTTGAACTAGAAATTAACAACTAATGAGGCCATGTGTTTACATAAGTCAGTCTTCCAAATCATCAAAACTTTCACTGTTGACTATCAGTTATTCTGTTAAGTTAGTAAGATAAATCCTAGTATTTGAAATATTTATTAGCTAACAGAAACATAAATTTCAAGATTGTTTCTTCTGTTGCGCCATCTCAATCTAAAAATAGGCTTAAGCCATTCTAAACCTTCTCTAAGTATCTTAACTAAAAAACATGCATCAATGTGTATTAGTGTTAATGTTATAAAGTCAGTTCATTAATGGCTTAGAAAGAGTAAAAATGAACCCAATTCATATTAACAATCTCAGTTCTGAACATCACAAGTAATGCTTCTCATACAAAATATTAAAATCTGAAATAATCTAATCATAAAAGCTATTAACTTTGTAAAAATATGAAATATAAAGTTTCCGAACTCCTGCTGCACCAAGATTTTCAAGATACTACAAACATTTTCTTTTCAAAAAGTAAAGACATCTTTAAATAAAAAAATCAAGATAAACCTGGTAATAAGCTAGCCAGAGTATTTACAGTCAGACAATGTTTTAAGTGTCTTGTATGTATGAATTCATTTCATCTTTAATACAATCTAAATATTTTGTCTATTATTAATTTTTGTTATTTTCCAAACAAAAAGTGAAATACAGAAAAATTATTTTGCCAAGGTGTGCTCATGGCTGAACTGTGAAATCAAGATTAGAAACTAGGACTTCTTAACCTTTACCACAACATGTTCATTTAGTAGACACAAATATGAATGTAGACTTAGAAAGGGATTTACACATTTTATGCAATTTCATAATAGAAAGGAATAAAGAATACTTAAAGAGTCAATTTTGCCATTTTTTAATCAACAAAGTTTCACCTTTCTAAAGACTTATTACCTTCTATTTCAGAACTATTATTTAACTCTATTCTTTGGAGTAATACACATAGATATTAATACTTTCTAAAGTTTAACTATCAGTTTTAATTAAATTTTTGGTTCTTACAGATTTTAAAGTAATCCGCTATATAAGATTACTTTATTTAACCCTCAGGCAACTATCCACATGACTTCTGGAGTGTTGGTAGCTTTACCTGAGTTGAGAAAGGCCCAAACTGGTTCAGCACTTCTTAAGCTGAAGGACCCAAAGAATAAATTCAAGTCTTGAGTTGCAATACTTAAAAGGATGCTTTGGGCAGAATATTAAATGATCCAGGAAGCATTAAAAGAAGATGGAAGGAGTATAGAGTCATTGTAGCAAAAAGAATTGTCTGACACAGAAGAATTTCATGACACAATGTATGAGCAAGAACCTGTAATGGTGGTGAAAGAAGTTCCAGCTGTGCTAAAGGAACTGGCAAAAAATAAGGCCCCAGGAATAGATGGTATACCAATTGACATATTTCAGCAAAC